GCGAACTCCTGATATACCTTGTACTCGCTCATACCCACCTATGTACAAGCACACGTAAAAAAGCATTTTCACCTTTGGACTTCCTTCGCAAATAACTATGAAGACATGGTTTCGATCTGTCTCTTTTCCTATTTAGGCACGTGATAACATGTACAACTTCCTTTTGTACCCAAGCTATTTAGTCAGATCTTTGGCCTAATATAGCAAAATTCCTATGCTGTCTTGTTTCTTTTGGTAGCGTGCTTCAGGAAAGCATATGCTCCATCTGAACATGACTTCGTCAGTTAGAAATTTTCTATATCCTTACCACTTTCGCTAAACTTTGTAGCACAAAACCTTTTCTGAATAAAATCTCAGTGGGCACGTTGAAGTCATAATTCTGACATAGTGATGTGTTACACAAGTGAACGACAATGAGGGAATAAGGTTATTATGGATTATGGTCAACTTCACAAATAACACTATGACCAACAATTTTTTAATTTTACTATCGTGAAAAATATGGATTGTGAATGTTTATGGTGAAATTATGTATCTTGATTATAGTTCATCTCCTCTAATGTGCACAAAAACTGGTTACTCTTTAAACCACTTCAATCGAAAATTATTTAAACTCACAAGAGTGGTTCCCAGTCTTCAAGAAAGGCGAGAAGTCCTCTTGTGATAACCACAGAGGAATCAGCCTGACAAACATAGTGTCTAAGATCCTAAGTTCTATAATTCTCCGACGCCTGAGTGGAGCTCGGGAACAGCAAGCCCGAGAAAACCAGGCAGGCTTTAGACCTGGCCGTGGATGTATCGACCAAATATTCACACTGCGCCAGGTCCTGGAACATAGGCATGCTTACAGACGCCCGACAATAGCTGTATTTCTCGACCTGAAGGCGGCATTTGACTCCGTTGATCGAGAAGTCTTATGGCAGTGTCTGTCACTGAAAGGCGTGCCTAGTAAGTACATCACCTTATTGAAAGCTCTCTACTCGAACACTTGTGGGCATGTTAGAGCCTATGGTGAGTTGTCCAGGGAGCTATACTCATCAAGTGGTGTCCGTCAAGGATGCCCACTATCCCCATTCTTATTTAATTTTATCATAGATATTCTTATGGAGGTTTCCCTCTCGTCACCTAATTACAAAGACGTTGACCGGATCACAGGTGAATTTTCCTTAGATCTAGAATATGCAGATGACATAGTCCTGTTAGGTGAAGACGCTGACAAGATGCAGAGTCTTCTGAACACTTTGAGTGGGAATTTGAGAATGTTTGGGATGCGATTTTCACCACCCAAATGCAAATTTTTGCTCCAGGACTGGTCTTCAGCGGTACCGCGGTTAACAATAGAGAGTGAAGTGGTTGAGTGTGTTGACCACTTCACTTACCTGGGAAGTAGGATCAACCCGGTGGGTTAGTTGCCGATGAGATTTCTGCACGGATACAAAAGGCTCGATTGGCTTTTGCCAATTTGCGCCACCTATGGCGCCGCCGTGATATTCGTTTGTCTATTAAGGGTCGCGTGTACTGCACAGCAGTCCGCTCTGTTCTACTGTATGGCTGTGAAACATGGCCATTGAAAGTGGAAGACATGAGAAGGTTACAGGTATTTGACCACCGTTGCCTTCGTAGTATAGGACGTATTCCGTGGTGTCACCATGTGAGTAATGCAGAAGTTAGGTGTAGAGTTTTAGGGAGAAGAGGTAAGTCAGTCGACGAGGTTGTGAACCTTCATCGACTGAGATGGTTGGGACACGTACTACGTATGCCTAGTCACCGATTGCCTCGTCACACAATGTTGGCTGAGGTGGGTTCAGGCTGGAAAAAGGCCCGAGGTGGCCAGACTAAAACATGGCACCAATGTATGAAGTCTCTGACTGTTGGTTTAAGCCATGTAGGACGATGCAGACTAGGTGGTTGGGGTCCACGGGACAAGAGGAACCAGTGGTTGGAGACCCTAGGTGATATGGCTCAGAACCGAAGTCAGTGGCGCAGATGTATACACACATTATCCTCATCTTAACAACGCTATACCGAATCTCACTATTTTGTCACTCCTCTTTCCTTTCTTCTCGTACTTTATATTTCTTTTGACTGCATTCACTTATCTTCATCCTTCACCTCACTACCTTTTTACTTGATGTGCTGATATGAGGTGTGGCAACTCGGACCGTTACGCAGTAATGCCTGGTCCTATGTTGATATGATGATGATGATGATGGTTCCCCTTTACGGTTAAAGGTGATGAAATAATGAATCTTGATCTCAAACTTCACTGCAATTAATTCCGCCTGAGTAGTAAAACAAGACCTTGAACAATAGTTATGGCATATAGTGTAACACCAGGTTCTACAGCTGTGGCTCACCAGCGTAGACAGTTGATTTCGGTGTGTGATGGTAACTTCGTTTTTTCCACCACGTCTACCCGTTTTCGTTCTAGACTTCTGCTTTGTGAACTGACTTCCGAGTAATTACCGACCTAATTTTTGATAGAACTTCGAATCTCTTCGTTCTAAAATATTTTGCCAATCTAAATCTTCTGTGTATATCTGCTGAGTGAAACTTTGTCATTTTCACGTAAAATCTGCGCATGTACACAGCAATTTAGGTGGACGTAATAATACACCTTTGAATTACGTACGCTGACATCTCTGTCTATATCGATAGCCTTTTTTGTTTTAAAATACAATATCCGAATCCTATTTCGTCTATACTTCTCTTTCTTTGGAGTTTATAGTGTAGTGATTGAGGTTTGGGTACCTAAACCTCTGAAGCACATATGGAAAATTGTAGCTACATTATATAAGACTATCTTTCGCCATCAGGTAGGAAAAATCAATTTAGCAACAATCTGTTCAATTTCTACAATTCACTCTATGCACTTACCATTCCTTGATTTCACAATGTACATTTCATTACAAACTAATATTGACAACCTACCCCTCTTAGCAGAGTACGTCCAATATCTCACACTTCATTGAACTCGGAACCACCGTCATGGGGTTTGAATCTAATAATCGACATTTCCGCAATGTAGGGTGAATATCATTTAGTTCCATTAGTGGGCATTCATGTTCACTTTACTAATGGTTATTTCTTTCCAAATGAACAGGATCTTACGAAATATAGTTTCACAAAACCTGCACACATTAGTGTAAGGCTATGATCAGGGTTTGATTGAACTGAAATATCTCTATCTTCAATTCATGTCTCTTTCCCGGAAATAATAATTTACCGTTTTGGTTATAATACCTATAGTGTCACCTTGGTGAAGCAGTGAATAGTTTTTAATCTAAATGGTATTTCCCTTATCCGGAAAACTCGTCGTATTATACACATCAACAGAATTTTAGTCGCTACTTGTCCCAATCTTCCGTGATTTCTTATATCTGTAGGCGTGCACATTCAACTGGTTTGAGTAATTGTCACACAATACCTTTCAGCCATTTACGGCAGTGGACGACAAAACAGTCAACATATGTGGTCTTTGTGCAAAGATCGTCTGAAGTGTCTGCCTTCTATAGGCCTTACTTCTTTTATACTGGTTATACGTAGTAGACAGTTAGAAAACTGGGATGTGTTCCTTCTAACTGAATATTTTTATTTTACAATAGCTCATCCTTTATGCGTAGACTTCGAGGTTCCGCTTTATACCTTATTAAGATAACTATCAAGAACTAATTCACTTTGTTGTATTTAGCCTATAAGTACGCTGAGATTTCTCAATAGCTTTTGCTTCTTTATCAGTATCTGAGGATTTTATCATTCTTAATTGTATAAATTTACGTCATCTTGTTTATCTCATATGATAGCAAGTCCAGAAACAACCCATCTTTACTGTCCTGCCAACAAGACGTCAGCAGAATATCACCAATCATCTCGCTTTTTCTGAGTCTTCATAGAATTATCTCTGCTAGAACAAAAGTGTTTGCTTTTTCGCTGAAAGTTTTGAACAATTAATGCATGAGTGAAATGCGAAATTTTCTTCAAAACAACCTAGTGGATTTATACTGTCAGTCGTACAATAGTTGTGGACTGCAAAGTTCTCAAAATTAAAAACGAATGATTTATTTCTTCCTTTACTCAAATAACACGAGCATAACTCCAATGTTAAGTAGTATGCATGTAACCCAAAGAAGCTAGGGAACAAATAGCATTAACCTCACTCAACCATAGTATTTGACCAAGTGTTCATATAAAAGATGAGTTAAGTACATACATGCACAGTCAAACTCTTATTTATATACAAACCAATGAAATAATGTTCTTCTTTAGTTTAAGTTCTTTAAAATCATTTGTTGATCAAAAACTTCTTTTTCTCTTCATACAAAAATACAGTTGCAACTTCCGGTGATACTGCCCCAGATAAATATGCCGCGTCCTAACTTCATAGGTAGCATCACTTAGTACATGTTTAAAAGCTCTAATGTACGAAACCTTAAAAAACAAACTATTCAGTATTAGGAACTATGCTTTTCCGAGTTGCTGATGTTGCCATTTGTAGGGGGAAGGAATGACTAGTACAAGTAAACACTTAAGAAATCCTCATAGTTCACTCCATATTGAAGTTAGTGCAGATGATACTGTCTGACAATGAGACCTTCACAATTAAATCACTTAGCTCACAGAACGAAATACAACCAAGCGTGACCCATTACATAACAGATTATATGTTGATATAAGATCTGACAACCTACCGTGAGACAGCAGAAATAGATCAAAATTCTTGTCATTCCTTATCAAATTTTATGATTACTTTATCATGTTTATCTATTATTAAATATGCAGTGGAGTGTAGTGTAATCATGTCTCATAGCGAGAAATCGATCCTTATTTAAAAAGTCGATATCTGAAAGTCACTGGCATTTTTAGTGCAATTAACATGTAATCCGCTCCCAAATGCTTAAAATTATGAAGTGATTTACTTACATGTACAAACTACTCACATATGTGTATATAATCGTATAGGTACATTTATACATAGACAAGCGCATTTTAAATCGTATAGAATGAGCTATGAAGAATACAATAAGAGGAGAAATGAAAATTCAGAAAATATTCAAAACGTGAAACCTGTCAGTCTCAATGAAACATGTTCTGCATCACAGATAGTCTTAGAGCATGATCCCGACAAAGTAAAGTCTTCCATGAGTACTAATTCAGCAATGCGACTGACAAATAGGGCATGGGAATTAAGAATGCAAGCATGCAGAAAAAATAGCGCTTCTAACCAACAACTTGGTCACTGTTCTCATGAAACGACTCTACCGTTTCAAAAAAAACTTTCTCCCATAAACTTACAAAGTAGTCTTATAGTATGTCACCGTTCTGCAATGGGTACTTTTATCGGAAACCATAATCAACCTACCACAGTAAGAAACCTAATTACACCAAACATAACAGAAAGAAATAAGACAAAGATTCCTATCTCAAATCATCATGATGCCCCAGCAAATATATCAAGTCAATTATTGCAAACAAAAATTCCATGTCCTATTCCTTTAACAAAATCTTCAAAAACTGGAGATCATATTGAGCTGCTTGACACTGAATCAACAAATCGGAATACTGAACGAAATGAAAAAGAATGTGGAGAATATAAATGTAATGAGTTCATATTTCCAGATGACGGTAATTTTCAAGTGAACTCACAAATCTGTAAGGGAAAGAATATTTCATCACAGAGACAAAATTATCCAACTTCCCCTAATACAGATATATGGAAGCAATTGATAACATCACGAAAAGAGGAATGCGAATGCACTGGAAACCAAGATGACACCACAATTACGAAAGCGCATAAAGAAGTACAAACTTATTTCATAACAGAAAATAAAGAAGCTAGTGATGCTGATTATCCTATTATGCATCCAGATAACGATACAATGAACCAGTCAGCTGTTGACTATGCCAAGAAGAAAATTATACATAGAAAACGTGTTGAGACTAGTAATGGGGAAAAATACTCCCCAATGATGATTTTCCATAGAGTAAAGGAAGAGTCTGTTTCACAGGATGGTGGTGAATGTAAGTTATCGACTAAAAGTGATTCATGTCAGTTGGAGCAAGCTTTACTAAGTCATACTAAAATAAACCATGGGCCTAATGATGTAAAACAAAAATTTGAGTCAATCCCGTCGAATTCAGAATTAAGTTCAGACACTCTTTCGTACAGAAAGAAAATCCATAAAATTTTTTTATGTTTCAGTATGCAACCATCTACAAATGTAAAACCGACTACTGACAAAGAAAAAGCAGAAACGACAACTAATCTCGTTTCCTGGGTTAACACTGACCAAGGTCAAACAGTCGATCACGTTAAAAATAGTAAATATAAGCAATCTAGTGACCCTTGCGGTAAAATTAACGACGAAGTGAGAAAAAATCACTATTCCCAACAGGCAGTAATAGGACAAAAATTACGATATCACGGTGTATTGGCACATTATACGATTATATTTAAGCACATAATGAAAAAAGTCAATCGGCAAATAACAGGACTATATCACCAACATGATCAGGGAGTAAATGAAGCACAAAGAGAATTTCATGCACTTCGTAGGCGTTTAACTGACATTTCAGAGAAAATTGATAATATATATCACCAACTTAGTGATCATAAAATGATTTTGGACACGATAACCAGAGCTGTAGAGTCAAACAAATCAGTTTACACTTGTAACAATCGTTTATTTAATAACAAGTATGATGATCAAAATATTGATGATAATCAGCACTCTCAGACTATAACACCTGCTATTATTGCCGACGATGAGACGGATTGGATCGACTCCAATACTGGAGATGACCGTACAGAAATTTGTACAGGACATAGTCCAGGCACAAATTCTAAATGTTTACCAGTAATCAGTAAAGACATTCAACATGTTGTAAATGATACAATGAAGCAAAAAAAGTGAACAAAAACAATCTTTCCGAAGAAGAATATACAATAATAACAGAAAATAATTCACATATTTCAAGTCAACTTAATAAACCAGCTGAAAATACTAAAAAGCAATATCATCCAAAAAATCGAGAAAGTTGTAGTTCATATGTATTTGATGAGACACAAAATCTAGGTGTATTTTCATTAGACACTAAAATAGCACAAACGAGGAATCAACCATATGACTATCAAGATGCCGATAGTCTAAATGAAATAATAGTGCATAAAGAAGTGGTGTCTAGTGATTCAGTGACTTCATCGCCACCTACACTTACTTACATACAACAGAAGAATACTGGCGAAAATCTCAGTGAAAAAAAATCACTACAACATTACTATTGTTTAGCTTATCTGAATCAAGATGCAGGGACCTCTTCAGAATTCATACATGCACCAAACAGTAAAAGTAAACAGGATAGTGAAATCGTTTTTCAAAATAAACTACTAGTAAGCAGTAACAACAAACCATATAGTCAATTATCTCGAGAAACTGTAAAGAAAGTGAATGAACTTTTACAATCTAAGCACCCAGTACCCCAATATAATACCTCTGCTGATGCATCGCCAGCTTCATATGATGCAGCGAATCTACCAGTTGGCTGTGGTCAAAAGCAACAACTACACATGCCCAAATCAACCAGAGCATCCACACTAAACAGAACAAGTCATCCTATACAATACTCAAGTCGTAAATATACACCACAAAAATACCCTAGAATACCGGGTAAACATTTTCAAAATAGTATTAGACAAACTACAGCACCAGTTAAAACAAAAAAGTGGTAGTCAAACTTATATTTATGAAATAAAGCCTAGAACTGTAGATAATAAGTACATTGAAAATCCAGTTACTGGATCCAATACTAGCTTGAATCGAAATTCAAATTACCGTCAAACTGATCTTAGTAGAACAAATGACAAATACGTGCATACAACAAGAAGGAATCAACTCTTCAATAGTAATAATGACAATAATAATAACGCTAAGTGAATTCCGAATTCATGGATAAATCACCGAGTTGTCATAATGCAGTTATTCCTACTAGTAGTTATGATCGTCCGCCGATAGATCAGCGTGAAGATGATAACAAAATTCACTTAAATACACCTTGTAAAACGACAGGATTGATAACAGGACAATTAGAAATAGACAGTCGTCTATGGATAACACATAAGTTTATCAAGTAAAATACCACAAAAATATCACAACAGTACAAGATCTTCAGAAATACATACAGACTGTTATAATAGTTTTGTAAAACACAATTCGGTTGATTGCTTAGACAAATTTTACTTTAATTTGTCAAGTGTACTCGTTTATCTAAAAAGTAAAGTAAAATATCATTCCAAATACGTAAAACTTATAAACATCTTTTTAGATAAGATTGATTTTACGGCGATATGGAGATGAAGCTCAGTAACTCCTAAAATTAGACATAAAAGTGAAATCCTAATTTCAGACCGAATACAGGGAATTATTTGAAATCAAACATGAAATAAACACCGACAGAACTTCACTGAATGAAATCCTGTTAAACACTTCAAAGTAAATTCTCAGGAACGAAATCGTGGCATCACTAAATTTTCATAACAGGAAGCAGTATTCCTGAAACGAGAAAATACCATAGTCAACAAAAGTATTCGTGCATGATTCAAACAACTTCCTTCAATAAATGTGTTCTTTGACGCAAAAATGAATACTTATTGGATTGTATCGCATAAACGTAAGACATACACACAGAAGCAGCTAAATCTGAATGAAACACCACCACACTATCTTTACGGTTATGTTTATATCCTGTGCCAATGTGTGATCTACTGCTATGAAGTATACTGCATTAAATATACTTCCTTGATTACCTTTCTGTCAACTTTTGGAACTGATAATTCTCCACACAGAAGGAAGTAAACAGACTGTAAATACCAACTTAAATGCCAACATTACTCCTTCATAGTTAAATAACAGCACTGGTACAATGTTCATAATTCATACAAAATAAAATCCGGTCTCATTAATATAAACGGTTTAAAGTTGACAAAATCCTCCAACTTTTCATCAAGATTGAAATTTAAGCATGAATTAATGGCAGTGAACAATTTCTCCCTGTATAAACCACTTCAACTAAACATTTTTTGTATGTGTCTCTTCTTGACCTATAAACAAATGACTTTTTGAGTCTTTATTCATTTATTTCACAGAATGAGAAAGTAGACCAATCATTCTTCTAGTCCATCAATAATAATCTCTAGACATGATTTTCGTGATTACTAACACATCCGCAAAATGTATCTACAGCCTTAAAGAAACTTATGTTGCCATGGAGATTCAGACCTAAGACACAACTTCAAAGCAGGTGAATAACTTCTGACCTATTCACTCCAGTAACCGAATAGTTATGCAAACTAAACGTTTTCTAAGAAAAATTCGAAGTCTGGTCAAATATAACTTAGATTCAAAAATATGAAAATCAAATCCATGAAGAATGTACAGGCATTCAACTTAGAACCTGGGATGAGACAGTCTCTGTTTCTCACTTCATGTATCAGATCAGTGTCTCTTCATTGCTTTTTAAGAATTACTGTGTACAATCTCGAAAAGAATGAAGTTGCTAAAGCATATAAGACGACTTCTAAGTCTACCATCTAAAACCCACCTCAGCCCCACAACTCAAAATAAAATTTCACATGCAAATATTAAAAGAACTATAGATTCACTTCAGAAGTAAAGAAGAAATAGAGTCAAACAAAAATCATAACTTTTTTTCAAATTAGATGAGATAAACCATTCACTTTGAGCAAACCGATCTATTCATTGTGTAAGTATAACGAACACAAAAGATATCTGAATTCAGCAAACCATGATCTTTTCATTTATTGATACTGGGTGATGACTGAATGTGAGAAGAAAACCTAGACCACGACAGAAGCCCTCTGATCCGGATCCCGCTGACACCTAGGTTTTCATTCCACCCTTACCCATCACTCAGTCAATCATCATCAGTCTGCTAAACCATAGTTATCTTAGACAATCTCACTATTAGTCTTCATCTATATGGCTTTTTAAAATTCAAATGACGACAAACTATTATCATCTAAATTTGTATAAATATTTTAGTGTGTCTGCAAACAAAATGTCAGCGTCCGAAAGTGTGTATTTTTTATGCTCTTTAGCGCAACAAACTTTCATCTTCCAAGCAATTCTTAACTATCTGGCTTGTAAATATGCTGCAGTGTGCGAAGTTTGACCTAGTAAAAAGGATAATCAATGGAACTCAAAATACCTTAAATACTGCTTCTGACACTCACCTATTGCATCTAATACATATTTATCATGGTTTCATTGGTTGACTGGTAAATTATCTTTCATATCAAAACTTTCGGTGTGGTTTGAAAATAGTTCGATAGGTCTTGAACACCAACCTTTTGTTGTGATGTATATGGTCAAACTTATGAAGTTTCTGATGGGATCAATCATCCTGTTCGTTCTCAGTGCATATAAACTGGTATGACTTGTATTACATACTGGTACTGATAATCCCTAAAGATAACTCTTACACCGTCACCTTAATTGAAACTTTCACACGCCTCACCATCCGAGTTTCGCTGCACTCGGCCAGGTTTACTCTAAAATTCACCCTAAAACAATTAAAATAACTAATTAGGTTACTTTATTCACAAAATTAACGATTTCGACTGAAATAAAGGAGCCTACTCGGTTAATTCATTTGTTGCCACGCTGGACTTCAGAGTCAATCCTGGTATCACATATTAACTACGCTTCATGCATATGAGTCACCAACGAAACTTAACGAGAAACCAGATTCAGATAATCCTTCAGATAGCAGCTTTTTTACCACGCCTTCGTATGATGGAAGACAAAGACTGGTGCTCATTACCTTATTATAAATCAACCTCTGAGTTATTTATATCTACAATTTAATTATTCCTCCATAATGCATTGTAATTTAAAGAATGAGAAAAACCATTTTTTGCGTAGAAAATGGAATATTGTACCAGTAACTCTAAATATCGCTCTAGCAACTACAGAAATAACAAATGAGGTTTAGATATTTCACGTGAGAAATGCCGTTGCATATGAAATAGAGGATAAATGACTTTTAGACTCCTTTACGTTTCGACTAGGTTCTTTAGACCATGTTTATCACAAATAAAGTATTAAACAGGTTGGTATCCTACCTTTTCAAAGCACTACTCAACTTGAAACAAGATACGTTTGTCAATGACATTCTATAAAATGTTATAAACTTTCTGAACTAATTAGTATCAGTTCAAATCATTTATTGGTCTATGCTTGTTTATTACCTCACTGTCACGAAACTCAGGCTCTTTTGAGAATCAGTACGATAATAAGCAACACTAACTACTGGTACTACAGCAACCTTTTGTGTTGCTAAGACAGACAATACCAAAGCAAGAATCTGAAACCCAACGAATAGAACAGAAGTAACTCGGAATATATCAAGGTCATTTATGTCAATACATCTTAGCGAATCTAACAAACGAATTTTTCGTGTATTTGAGAGGAGAGCGCTTTCATCAGAACTACGAGCAAGAAAAATTGATCATGAATTCTTAGTTCCATCGAAAGGCTTACGCATTTTCACAAAATGATATAAAAAGAAGGTTCTTGATCAAGACATTTTCAGCTTGCTACACAGGCGACTTATGAACTGTTAATTGTCTACCCTGGTACAAATTCTGCTGCAGAGCACCAGGTTGCAATGTGCTATAATTTAGTAGCTTTTCCAATGCGTGCTCGGAATATATCTATCAAAACAGATATCAACAGAAATGTTATGTAGGCTAGTCGCCAATGGATTATGAGCAGGAATAAAAATAGCCAAGTAGGAAAATCTTTACCACAGCACCATCAAACGACAAACAGAGCAAAATGAATTTCAGGGCGTTTAGCAACGAGTAATACCACAGTACATTGAGTCACCGAATAAAATCGTCGGCTTCCATCCACCAGAATAATTAATGCACACTGCAAAAACACTCATAGTTAGTGCGAAATAAGATAAGCTGGGAAAAAACTGTCGTTAGATCACGATAAAGTTACTCCACAGAGCAACAATTTGCTCGAACTATGCAGAGAAAGTGTGCATGATAATATGTCAACAAAAGTAGATTTGATCAGAATCCACAGGGAAAGGTTTGGAACGTATGTAATGCAGGTGTCCTAACCACTTTCATCGAAGCCGAGAAATTCTACTGTTTTAACCACTTTTACAACATGGGTCTTCTCTTACCTGCACTTTTGACAAGGCAGAGACTGTTGGCAAATTAGTTTCAGTGGGCTGTAAAGGAGATCATAGAAGAAAGACACCAAGATGGCTAGAACACTTTCAAATAAAAAAGCGTGTATCCAAGTGGTAATTTGACTTTCACTAAAAATCCAGAACCGTTTGGAATATCTTCAAACATGTCCCTTTGATATGTGTATATTGGGAGCGTATAGCTGACGTGATCAAAATTTGTGAGTTGGATGACCAAGCTGCATTTCCTGAGGAGTAATGGTAAGCCCACATACACAAACAGGAAAATCCCGCTCCATTTGAGTAATCGGACCGGAAGTCTACGCCATTGCTCGCAAATTTTCATTTCAAAACTACCAGGACCTAACTACACCCATGAATATTCTAGTGTCCACTCATAAAAAAACAGCTAGCAAGAAGTTAACATTATGCGCTAACTGTAGTACCCGGACAGTGTTTGGGGGAAACCCACAATAAGATTAAATTAAAACATACCCTACGAAGTGTAATTAAGCAAGTATAACACACTTTTACGGGTAACTGTATTCACTTAGTCCTACAGCGAGTATTAGTGGCACAGATCCCTACAATGAAACGGACTAAAATTGGTTCTAAATGAAAATGACGAAAACCTATCCGATGAAAGTAATGAGTAACAGCATGTGTGCACCGTAGTCCCACCATAATGAAGTCCAGTGTGTCCACAACGCCGACAGAAATATTTGTGAGGTGTTGTTTGGTTTTACCAACTCTCAAATACTTGTCAGACGTCCTGTAAGCAGTTTTGTAGCGTGAGGCCCTTATTTAGCTTATTTCTCTCTCAGTAACTAATTCAACCTAGTGCATAAATTGCCTGAGCCTAATATCTCAAGGCTTCATATACTACCCACATTTCTTGATGAGGTTAAAACCACTATACTGTGGAGGCTCAGAAAGTGCAGAATCTAAGGGGATATATGCGTCAAAGTCCGACACTTCGTGAGGCCTACAATGACACTAACACCTCTAACACAAAATGCAAAACATCTTATCACCATACACCTTTTTGTAACTCACAAACTTTGAACAACTAATAAGTTAAATTCTTGAGCAAATACTATATCATCGTTTATCTGATGCAGTTTCTCACAGTTAAGGCCAAGGGTAAAATCTTTTACTTCTACACACAAGACTCTTAGTGAACGATTTCACTCAAAATGTATACTGATTGAGCCAAAACAGGACACAAGTCATTCAGAACTCAACCAATATACACAGTAGTGCCACAATGCACATACCCACTAACAGAGTAAAAGTAGTGTTACACTCATGAAATATACCTCATTATGAACAGTCAAACGCAATTTTCATTGTGACTTACACCCTGAATAGACCACCGGTAACATGAAGAGTACAAAAGACATACATTGTAGGCTAACTTACTTAATTTTAATGAAACAAGCAGGAAAAGTATATACATGTGTGACATAAAAGCCACAAATAAGTAGTAGATTAGAAATCAATGTCTCTTGGAGTGCTTATGCTTTGATTTGTGATCTTTTTTCTTCGGTGACTTTTCCGACAGCTTCGAAAGCTTTTTCAGAAGCTTCTCACGCTGCTTTTCAGAGAGATTTTTGAGAAACTCCATAGCTAGAGAATCTTCTTCCTCTGAAGTACGCTTTGAATTATCACCTAATGCCTTTTTAGCTTTGCTGAATATAGATGTAAAGCGATCTAGATCAGTGCCTCTTTTCAACGTCAGACCTTCCTTTTGAAGACTTTTCTGAACTTGGTCAAGTGCAACTATTTCGCTTGTTGTAGGCTCCTTAGTAAATGATTGTCCAAATAATGGACAGACACGGTCAGTGTTTAAATGTCCCCACTGCTTACAGCGCATACACCGTACATTGCGAACCTCAATCGCAAATGGTTGATCCATGATTTCTGATGAATTTTTGCAATAGCTTTCCCTTGGCGCATTATACTTTCTTTGCCATTCGAACTTCACATCCTTCTCTTCAGTTTGTTCCTATGTATTAGTTAGGTATAACGTATTTGTACCCTTACCTTTTCGACCAAAGCGGGTTGATCGTACATCCAAGCTAATCCCAATCTGGCTTTTTCATCACCCAATAGAACACGATTCTCAAGCGTTTCCTGCTCTCTACGATACTGGTTGAGTTTTTCTAGCTCCTTTTTTGTATCATATTCATTAGCTTGCTCAGCCATCCACTTCCGTTTTATGTTTTCAAAGTTTGTTGGATGGAAAAACTTCTTACACATATAGTTATTATATCCCTTCCCCATTTTCGTAAACTACTGACCAGCGAACAATGTATCGCAAGTTTTGAAAGCCGCCAACCACAAGACTTCAGTGAGCATTCACAGGATTGAATTTATGTTTAACTCAAGAAATCTACTTTACGGGTGCTTTTTTTTACCTGAAAGCAGTATTTCAATTCCCAAAAAGGCATGGTTACCACATCAGAGCACAAGATTTCAATAAAAAAATCCGATTTGAAACCAGTGTTTTCTAGACATATTTTCATACCTCCAGTCGCAAGTTTGTATAACCCCACTTTCACTTGTTTTGTTCTCTTAGAGACGACTTGATATATGTTTAGATGCTCAAATGGCAAACTTCGGGCTCAACCCTAGTGGTGGCTCTGTTCCACAGTAATGGAAATGGTCTATAATATGAAAGGTATCTTTGCAATGTCAATAAGTAAATTCAAAATGAAATGGTTTATATGTTTATGTTGACGTAGACTATTCGCAGGCTTTGTTTAAATGCTAGTGATTTTCCATCTCTTCAACTAACCTGATACTTTTACATTGATCTACATGTTTTTCCCCTAAATTTCGAAGCAAAACGCTTCAGGTATGTGCAGCTTCTTATGAAGATTTTTCCAGCCATTCTGTGCTATATAATGCATGCTTATTTCGCGATTGGTTCATAGGATACAATAAATGGAGTCACTCAGTAGTCTTCTTCGTCGAACAGTCTTCGAATCTTGTGACTGGATAGGAGGTGAAATACAAGACGTTTCACTTTGCGCCTGTGAGCTGTACTGAGTTTCAAACTTGTTTTCTGAGTGTGCATATCGTACTCTGAATCCTCCTCCGAATGGTTTTTATTATTAAAGGGAGACTTCATTGTTATTAGCTTGCGGCCTCTGCCCGTTCTATCACTGGACGACCTAAGAAAGTTTTGGATCAGGGATATTCACCGTCACTAACACTGGTCTCAAGATACAAATTCGCCTGAGGCTGCCACAGATCTTTCACTTTTCTCTTGGAGCACTTTTACCTGGTTGTTATCTTATCACAGCAAGATAGTGGGTACAAACCTGTGCGTCAGTCACCTCGGGCCTGATTCCGTTTGGATTTCTTCTACGGTAAGAATTGCAACCAAAGTTTGAAAGTTATAGAGGCAAATAGTCCCCCAAAATCAACAGCTAGATGTCCATGTGGGCTAGGCAGTACTTATTGTTGATGCTAACCTCTAGAGATATAAGGCATTGGTTTGGCTGAAGGCTCACGGTCAGACATTGACGTCATTTGGTACTTTGTTTTGACATTTCGAGTGCATCGTACGAGATCTGTTAGCCTGTTGGTTGAAACGCATCAATGTATTGGCACGGCCAAACAAATATGCTACCCTTAGCTGGTTATACTTTCGTCTCCCTTCTTGATCTCACACTTTTGGGCATTCGGCAAGTAAGAAGAATTGCTAAATGGCCCATACCTCTGTCAAGTTTGCGGGCGGAAAATTCCAAATTGGTGAGGTGGTCCTCCACGTGTTTATGCACATTTATACTCATACTTATAATCTTATAACCAATAATCAAACGTTTCATTCTCACGTTAAAAAAGATTTTAACATGAGAGAAGCCAGTTTACAAGCTTCGTCACGTCGATACATCTCGAATAATCTACAAGACTAGAGACCTGAGTGGTATTGACGGGATGTCATTAAACTCAATTAAAAACTGCCGAAGGTCCTGCTAGTTATGAAATGAACAAGGAAACATTACTTTACAGAGTACATAGTGTTGAAGTTTAGATAATAATAAATATTGTCTTCACTCAGCAGGTCTAACATGAGGGATACCAGTTTACAAGCACCGCCAAATTCATAACTTTTAAAAGCATCTAGTATTGAATAATTTACATGTCAAGTCATTAGTGTGCATAATCTGATTAAAATTTGCTGAAATTCGTGAGACGGAAATGGATTTCAACCTTCTATCTCTAAGACAAGTTCCATTATCAATATCAAAGGCGCGCAATGTTCAAAGTTTGCGTCATAACCAACCGACGTTGTCAGTCCTTTCGCATAGTTTGCTAATTGGTATTATAAAAGTTCATTGCTTGTAATGATCTTCAGTTATCAGCCTTGCTAACCACAGAGGACCCATTTATACAATCTGAGGTATCAATAAAGTATCCACAGCTACAAAACCAACGTGTATGGCTATATCAATGCATCTCCAGGCAAACATGTTACGTTTAAGGGTAATGTAAATTAATTCTGCTGGGAACACTTGTTGTATCGGATTAAAATAGATGTTGAAACAGTCGATAGTCCAAGCGGCAGTACTTATACATAGACTTCAGGTATCTTTTGTATTAGCATAGGCCGCATCATTCGAGAAGTGTATTTGATGCATAGTAAGTTCCATATGAAAAGGTCTCTTGGTACGGAGTACTAGAAAACGTGCAGTGTGGAGCCATTGCAGGTAAGTGACGTCCTGGACAATATGTTAATTGGTCTCCGGTTTAATCATCTCTTCAGAATGTCTCTGCTACTAATACTGTTGGGAATGGCCAGACGGTTCGTCGCAAGAAAAATCATGACCAGTAGGTGAGTTAATCTTGAAGATGGTCCAGTGCATTCACGATTGCGTGGACTATGTAAAGATATTGGCTTAAGAGCAGGAGCGCAACAGGTATGAGTAATGCCATGCAAAGGCGGAAAAATAGTCTAAGGTTGAGGCGTCTTAGCCAAAGTGGGTCAATTTTTGGTTTCTTACACCTTCCCCCATAACCAAGTTCTTCGTGACGGCCCAGTACATGGCGGGTAAACTTTCTTTGAACATTCTTTGAACATTCCTATCCGAAGCATACATATTCCTGAAGATGATTGTGTCGTACTCAAGTACTGGGCGGATCATTACCTTGAATAAGAGCAGTCTGGCCTCAGTGGCATGTACATGTTTAAACAAAAGGCCAACTGAGCGCCTGCACTTGGAGACAAGTGACTGGGCATATTCCGTAAACGTCAAGTTCCGAGGATACCTAACACCTAAATCACACACTGAGCTATAAGATTGCAGCACAGAATCGCCAAGGTGTAAACTGACGTTTGGATAAGAGTTGTTGAAACAGAGAATTCCGCATTTATCAGAGTTAAGTGGAAGTTCCCATGTTTCACTCCAAGCGAACAAACTCGTCAGGTCTTCCTGGATTCTATTAAAACCCTCACTTAGCGATTAGTGGGGAAAGCTATACACGATTTTTAAGCCGTCAGCAAACAGGTAGGGTTTACCATACTTTATCACGTTAGAAACATCAGTTATGTAGGGGAGGGACGGTAAGGGCTCAAACGCATTTGAACGACGTCACTCAGAATAGGCTGTGGGGAGGAATAGGTTTGGCTGAACTTTACTATTTGAGTACGCTGCCTAAGGAATGAGCTTATCCACGATAATATAGGATCACTAATTCCAAATGATTGAAGCTTCAGAATAAGCCGATTATGAGGAACTTTATCAAGTCCTTTTTTGGAGCCAAAAAATAGGACAGTTGCGAAAAGACCCTCATCTCGTCTGCAAGTGACCTCCCCAAAATAATCCAGTAAGCAAGTACTACGTGAATGACCTTTTAAGAAATCATGCTGCATAGGGGAAAGAAGCTGATGCGCACCCGCGTAGTCATTGATTTCTTGCGCAACGACCTTCTCCATGATACGAGAGACTACAGATGTAATATTTATGGGACGATAATTCTGAATTTCCGACGTCGGTCCAGATTTATACGTGGGAGATATGTATGACAGCTTCCAGCGGTCAGGGTAGCATGCCTCAGTAAGGGATATTGAGAATAGCTTCATGAGGATCAGCGGTATATCTTCACCACCTCTCTTAAGGAGAACAGACGGGACCCCATCGGGTCCGGCAGAATATGAGTCCTTTAGTGAAGCAACTGCATCACCTATCTTTCCCTGTGTAAAGGAAACATTACTTAGCGAGTGGTGTGGTGGAATGGGCATCTGCATGTTTAGTACACTATCTTCGTGCGTGAAGCAGCTTGCATAATGTTTACTAAACAGCTCACGGATCTTACTTGGGTCATCATAAAGAATGTCCCCATCGATGATCAGACTACTGGGAATAACTCTAGATAAGTTTGCACGGGATTTTAGAATTCTCACTAATGATTGAGCATTGTCAGTTTGTGCGTTGCAGCTGGTTTCTTGCTTGATTGCTTTTATTAACTTATTTGATTTGAAGTTCTCAACCGCAATTCATAATGAGACAGGAGATGAAAAGTCATTAGATCGATAGAAATTTCTGGCATGTCTGCGCGTGCTGATACGTACATTTTCAGGGATGAAATTCACTTTCTGCTCTCTAATTAGTACTGATACCTCCGGAGCAATGTGATTGTGAATTGCATTCATAGAACTGTAGAAGATGTCACTTAGTTAATGGGTTGAGCCACTGGTGAAATAAGAACCCCAGTCCAAGCATCGCAACATGTATTGTATCTCTTCCCAGATGGTATTTTTATATCGTCTAACTGTGGTTGTTTTTGACCTATTTCTGGGAGACAGTCGGAAGTCACCAAACACCACTCTGTGATCGCTGCCCGGGAATTCTGGACCAACTTGAAGAGTGAAAGGCAATAGCCCATTCGTGATAACTAGGCCAAGTATGCTATTATGTCTAGTTGGTTACATTACATGTTGACGCCATCCTCCAGAATCCAACACAATAATAAAATTATCAAACTGCCTAGGAGAAGTAAGTCACCGCATATAAGTTTCATGAAGTGGGGCAGTGTTGTTACATGGGTAATTACTTCTGCAAGCCTGTCGTCATAATCTACAGTAGAGCAAGGGGGACGGTAGATACACCCTGAGAGGATAGTTGTAGCATTTGGAAACTTCGCCACAACTCACACTGAGTCACTGAGCGAATTGAGTTCTGAATTAATGCAGTTTGCTGCAGCAATGTAATTCGTATTAATGACTTCTCTATCCATGTGCGTTTGAATTCATAAACTTCTTCTTGGTAAACTGT